AGGGGGCCAACCTCACTGTGGCCTTTCTCCTGACACACAGCAATAGCCAACCACCGCCCCCCACTGCTCAGTCAGTGCCCAGCCTCTGGTCCTCACAAAGGAAGCTCACATCCCACAACTGTTTAGTCGGCTGTAATCCTGGCTAAAGTTCACTCCTTGGAAATCCAATGTGGGGGGTGGCTGCTGTTGGAATGTGTGTGGCTGGAACCCAGTGTCCCAGGCGGACAGCAGGCTCTGCTGGGGCCTAAAGCAAGCAGGCGGCCAGGAGTCCCGGGAATCCCCAGCCCCCAGCTGTGCCAGAGAATGGAATGTGCTGCTCTGGGGTGTTGAAACAGACCCCACCAAGGGGGGCCCTGGGACGGATGGGAGCTGGGGGATCCAGTCACAAGGCTGCCTCTGTTCCCCTGGAGGCTGAGCTTGCTTGGCCAGGGCAGGAAGGATGGGGAGGGAGGGAGAAGGATGCTGCACATAGGGGCCATCCTCTGGCTCAGAAGCTTGTGGGGCTAGTGGGCACCCACCCGGACAGAAGGAAAGTGACAGCCAAGTTCCTCTTAGGAGGCATCTACAAGTACCTGTGGCACAATTCACATTCCGGCTCCACCGCTTATAAAACCATGTGACCTTGCACAAATTATCTCCCCAAGCCTCCACTTAACAAATTCATAAAGCGGGAGAGTGCAGTTTTTCCAACTATCATGAGGTTTAAATCAAGTCGTGCACCATGCATGATTCCAGGCACACTTACTCCCTCACAGCCATTAAATTAGAACTGACTCACAGCTGACTCTCCAGTGAGTTTCCAAGGCTGTAAATCACACGGGAGGAGACTGACCATCTTTCTCCCGTGGAGCCTCTGGTGGACACTCGAACCCCCTTTGGGTTAGCAGCGCCAATCACTACCGACGAGGCCACCAGAAGTCCCCAATGCTTGGCACAGTGTCAACAAATGAAGGTAACAGCTTCAGAGTAGATTCTGGAGTCAGAACCCCACGGGGGCGTGCATCTAAATTCCAAAATCAATCTCCATAATAGTCTATGTGTTTCCTACTGCCAAAGGGGCCCTTTAGAGTAGTGAGAGAAGATCTTCACCCTGAAACCCACAGCGTCCCTTTTCAGCAGGAAGTAGCTAAGAGAATACGCCATCCCCTTTTCCTTATGACTCAGGGTGAAGTCTCTCTCAGGGAGGAGTGATAGGGAATGGCAAAGGACACACTGACAAAGAAGATTAATCAGAACTGGCTTGACAAGCACTGCGGCATTTGGACAAGAACAAACTGGGAGGAGGGTAGAGAGAATAGTGCAACAATGAATGAATGGAAACCCAAAAATCTCTGTAAATGTTCATGAAAATTAATAAAATATAATTATAGGGGAAAAAAAAAGAACCCCACGGGGGCGGGGGGGGGAGCCCTGAAGATGAAAATGGACCTTCCTCCAGCTTCGAACCAAGAGCTAGGTGGTCAAGAGCTAGGCAGTCAAGGGCTACAGTCTTGGGGACCTCAAGGACCACTACGAGTCACAAGCCTGCTAGGGTTCACAGGAAGCTGTTCAGACCACAGTGAACAGAACCCTGGACCTGACGCCAGACGTGGCAGCTCTCCTCTCTCACGGGGTGGCTGAGCATAAACGAGGCCCACATCTTTTAAACCAGGTATTCTAGGCCAGGCAGTTCACCTTCTCGGCCACTCCCGGTTGAGGTCCTCTCTGCTGCTGACCTCAGCTACTGCAGACATAATTCAGCCCTCTCCATCTGTGGCTTCACTTTGCCAGGGGTACTGGTAACTACTTCCCCCTCTCGTGCTCATTCTGAGCTTCTTCTCACTTGCACACCAAGGGGACAAGGTGGCACCCAACTCCCTGAGACTGCTGACCCATTATGGAAACCCACAGCCCTGTGACCTGTGTCCCAGGCGCCACAGGCCCAGGCCTCCTCAAATTACTCTTCATAGGGTGCATTTCACCAAGAGGCTTGTTTTCATTTTCCAGAAATAAAATATTGGCTCTGTTCTTTCAAACCATAACCTCCCATCTCCTGAGAGTCTCCCCTGAATAATTCTCTCCGGTTAAAGGAAAAATCACTGTCGTAAAGGAAAAGTTGGGGCAAGAATTTTTCACTGACTACCTGAAGATGGTCAGGAGGGCATTAACACACGAGAGTTTACCAAGCACTTATTTTGTGCCAGGAAGTTATGTTCTGTCCCCCATGTGGACTACTTCATTTAATCCTCACATCAGCTTCACAAGGGAGACATCACAATCTCACCCACTTTACAGATGAGGAAAATAGCAGAGTGGTGAGGGGCAATGACCCAGTCCCTGAGGCACGCTGTGTCATTCCAGCTGATGGCAGAAGTCAGGAGCCAGGTGCAGTGGGCACCCACCCTGTCCTGCCACTTGCCACTGTCCTGGCCTTGTCTCTGTCTTGTCTCATGCCGGCTGTTACGGCCGAGTCTTGCCCCGTGCTCTGACACTGGGGGGAAATGTTTCCTCAAGTGGAGTGAGCATCTCTCCCGATGAACGCTGGACTAAGTGACCCCTGAGTAGCCTTCCAATGGCCAGCCACTCACCCTCACAGGAACTGAGGCCACAACCCGCCTCTTCTCTAGGTGAGGCGCCATCCCTGCTCTCCCCTTTGTGCTTCCTGTTGTGTACCATCGAGTCGGAACCGGCCCATAGCTGAGCGTCCAACAGGTTTTCAGAGGCAGGACATCTCATGTGAGGAGACTGCCCATCCTTCTCCCACAGAAGAGCTGGTGGGTTCAGACCATGTGCCTTGCTTTGGCAGCACGATTCCTCACTGCTGGGCTACCGGCGCTCCTTTCTTTGTGCTGACACGCCTGAGTTTCTGTTTCTATCAGCACCCGTACCGTTCCTCTCTAAATCACCAGGCTGCTGGGTGGACATGTCCTAGTGGCTTCCCTTTGCCTCCTGGGGCTTTCCCACAAGGTCAAGTTCTGGTCCCCCTGAGACCTGACCAAGGTTGAGGAATGTTCCGAGGACACCCCAGCAGCTGAGGTGTGAAAGAGCACGTGGGGCCACGACGATGAGGTTACCACAGGGCCTCCCCATCCCTACTGCCCACAGCCCTCCATGTGGAAGGCACAGCTCCATCCCTGTCTGCACGTGGACTGCCAGGGGAGGCCTTTCACAGCCTTAATTACCTTATCCACAGAAAGAGGTCACTTGGAGGACTAAGTGAGGCAATGTATGTACAGCACACTTCCCACAGTGCCTGGCACCCAGTAAAGTCCCAGCCCACCCCATTTCTGGAAACCCCTTATATGCCTCATCCTCATGTTGTGGCTCTCCACCCCCGTGAGGGCTGATCTCTTCTTGCTTTCTCAGAAGGATTAGCAAAAATCTTCATTCTGAATGCTGCACTCCTCGGTGTTTACATGGTCTAGCCCTAGCTCGGGACCTCACCATTTGGTCACAAGACAGACACAAGCTGAAGCCCTTCGCCATGCAAGGCACAGCCTTCCTCCTCCGGGGCCCTGCGAGTCCCCGGCCAGGCTGCCGCGCTTCACTGCACCGAGGAGATCCATCACCCAGAGTCTTGGCTGAGCTGCAGGGATCTGGGTGCCCAGGCTCAGAGGGGCAAGTATGAGAACCAGAATGAAAGCAGCAGAAGCTTGAGGCCTCTTTATTGATAATTCTCCATACACAGAGATCTTTTTCATTCCTCTCTGGTGTACATAAAGCGGGGGACTATAAATCCTCTATAAATTCTCTTAGCAGGACAGAGGAGCCCAGGAAAGGGGATGCCAAGGCCTGCCTGGTCCCCAGGGACTTGCACCTCCATGACCCAGAACCAGCCCCTGGCTGCTGAGTCCCAGCTAGAATGACTGGCCTGCCAAAAAAGTTGGCCTCGGCTGCACCCTTGTCTCTCCTACCTGCCTCTTGGATCCCTACTTAAGAGTGCTGAGTCTCAGGGAGCCTATGACCCCAGGGAAGAATCCCAGGATCGGAGAAGCCCCCATCCTCCACATTCGGTTCCTTGTGCTGCAAGTTCCCAGGAACCATGAAATAAATAAATAAATAAATATTTCAGAAAGGCAGGGCAGGGGAGGGGCACTTAAACCAGCTCCCATCTTTAAGAGAAACCCCTGAGGACCTAAGAGTCCAACAGTAAACAGGAACGTGTTGGGAGGTTGCTGGGCACCCCAAAAGTAGTGACTTCTTTCTACAATTAAGACTGTCCCAGCCAGATCCTACACATCCCATGTGTCAAGGGTCAGTCGGGTTTTCTGGATCTCTGCTCACCTGGCCTTACAGTGAGGGATGGGGGAAGGGCCTGCCCCAGGCTCTGGGCAGGAAGAGAGATCTGAGAACAGCAGGGTGAGACCTGGTCAGTCAGGGACTTGGCAGGTGGGGCTGGGGGTCACTTCCCTGGGCTTTGCTCCACGAATACTGAAGGGTCTCCTCCAGTCCCTCCTCTGGACCTCGAGAAGGAAGCAGCCCTGGCCACACCCTCTGATTGGGAAATCAAGATCCTGACGGCTGGAGGGACACTCAGACAGCAGCATGTGGCATGGCACCTCTGAGGCGCTCAGAGGTCAAGGCTCTGGTATGAGGCCCAGCAGAAAGCCCTCTCCTGTGATCTCAGGGCTCCTAGAATTCCCAACCTGGGCAGACTGGCCGTGATCACCAGTGATCCTAACGGAGACCAGGTCTGGCTCACCACTACCCTCTAGCTTATACATAAGCAGGGCCCAGCCCTGCTTGCCCTGGAGTCTGCAAACTCCACCCAGAGCAGAGAGGCCAAGCTCTGGGGCCCTCCAGGGGCTACTCTCCCCTCTGGAGCTTGAGGGCAGCCACAGTCAGCCGGCCACAGAATGGGAACAGCTCCAGGAGCTGGCTGGAGACAGCGAGGGAAGACAGGAAGCCTACCTAGCGAACAGGCCACCTTGGCCCAGCACACGCCACGTGAGGCTAGGGATGGGGGAATGAGGACCACTGGCCCCGGGGCCCAACACCCAACTGCACCCTGGCTTCTCTTCTCACTTGCTCAAGGTCTGGTTGCATGAAGCACACACAAACACAGTCTCTCTCTGGGCTTCTGGAGCTGAAAAGGAAGAAAAGAGCTAGATGAGGGGAGGGGAGCCATCCTTATGCCCTTGGGTCCCAGGTCCATGGCCCCAGCTATGAGAACTGGCCCCAAGACCTGCTTCTGGTCCTAAGCGCAGCCCACACCTCCCTAACCCAGCTCCTTCCACAGAACCAGGGATGCGGGGGTGACTCGGCAATGCGGGCCTCTGCCAGGTGTTCTTTGCATCAGAATTATTTTGGCCCCAACAAAAGACATTTTAAAACTTTTTTTTTTAAATAAAATACCAGAAGGGAATTTTCCAAAATGCTTTAACATTGCTTATGTCTAGGTGGTAAGATTATAGGCTTATTCTTCTCTTCCCTCTCTGTCATAATTTCCAGATATTCTCAAATAAACATGTATTATTTTCACGATCAGAAGAGAAGGGGAAAAAACCTCACTTGAGCAGACATTATGGTCTCACAATCTGAGGAACAGAAACCACCTCAAAGGATCGTATAGGTAGAAACTGGTGGAATGCTGTATGTTCTGATCAGGTGTTTTCAACAATAAAAATAATTTTTTAAAAACAAAATTTTCTCTCAGGGAGTTCTGGTGGCCTAGTGGCAAGTAGCTGTACTGCAATCCCAGAAGTGCGTGGTTCAAATCCACCAGATGCTCTGCTGGAGAAGTAGGGACAATCTCCTCCTGTACCAGCCAGATCCGATTTGACAGTACACACATACAAAAAACAATAAAATAAAATAAATAAAATTTTCTCTATACCCTAAAGAAACCATAACTACCACCCAGGCAGATATATATGCACACCCATGTCTACTGCGGCTTTGTTCACAATAGCAAAGAGCTGTAAACAACATAAGTGCCCATCAACAAATGAGTGGATAGAGAAGCTGTGGTCTATTCACTACGCTGCACTGAAAAACAAGGAACTCATGAAATATTATCCAAAATGGGTGACCATGGAGGACATTTTGCTGAGTAAAATATCTCAGTCACAAAAGGACAAATATTGCATAGGGCCACTGTTGTAGAGTGGGGCTGACATCAGGGTTGGGGTGAGACTGAGAAAGACTGGATAAATTATATATACTGCATTGGAACAGATGAGGGAGAGAACTGTTTAAAAACGATATAAGATTGGGTATTATGGTCATGACAAGAGCCCAGAATGAAGGTTGCATAGTACAGTGTACTCAAGGAAGGGGGGCGGCGGGGAGAGTGTATACCAATGAAAGAATTTTTCTTTTACTTTTTAAAGAGAAGAGCGAACTGGCAGGGAGGGGTGGGCAGGGAGAAAAATGCAACAATGAGTGAATGGAAATCCAAAGTCTCTGTAAACGTTCATTAAAATTCATTTTAAAAAAGGGAAAAAAATAAAATTTTCTCTCAACTAGTTCAGAAAAAGTCTGATCGTCAGTAGGGGAAGGTGATGAAGCCAATGTGGCAAAATGTTAAAAAATAAAGTATCTAGTTGAATGGGATATGTGGCATTCACGCCACTTTCCCCTATATGTGAAATCATTTAAAAATAAATCCTATTTCTAAAGTGTAAAAAAACCAGCCCTCTTCACTTTTCAAGGATGGTTTTCTTTTCGATCACGCATTTGTTCTAAAGGAGGGTTATACTGTTGTTGCTGTGTGCCATCAAGCCAACTGTGAGAGCCCAACGGCCACAGCGCGTTCCCAGGGCCACAATCTCGACGGGGAAAGACTCCATACAGTGAACTTACCAGCCAAATGCTTAGCTGCTGCACCACAAGGCTCCGTAAGACAGAGGTAATGCTGCTTTTTTAACTTTAGGGACACGTTCCCAATTAGTCATTCTATGAGAGTAAAACCTGAGAAAGCTGGAGCCTTTATGAAGAGGAAACTTGAGCTTTCTCAGAGAAGAAAAATGGTATTATTTTCTACAATAGAAAAGTAGTAATTGGTTCCTGTCAGTGGCGAAAAACTCATGGGACCTGGAACAAGGGTGTCCTGTGGAGCTGAGGCTCTCACGGGCTTCACCACCTTCTACCTCCTAATGTTCAGGTCTCTTGCGCACATTCCTCCGCAGGTTTCAAGGGTTCACAGTGTGTATGTGCTCCAGGCTTTGACAGAAAGGTAGAGGGGACAGACAGGGATCCTGACGCTGGTCTCACTGGCACTTGGCTTGTAGCCTCGCTGCAGCACCCAACTGTGAGGCTAGGCCCCCAGCCCACCCCACCCCCACACTCACCGGTGGCCCCCATAAAGGACTTCGGCACCTTGAAGGAGCAGCACCGAGAGCAAAAGCTGTTTCCACAGTTGCTGCAGCTCCGCTGTGGACAAAAGGCAAGGTCTGTGTTGGACACATCCCCCAACTCCCAGGCACCCGATGGCCACAGCACCTCCCTCCTTCTTGCCAGCTGATCCCACCAAAGGAGTGTGGCGTTGCCGTGGGACAGGAGAGGTGCCTGACGGGTCAGGAGTGAGTCCAAATGGGCTGCCACGTGCGCACCTGGTGAAGGCGGGAGAGGGGCAGGGACAAAGCACGGGACCCAGGCCCAGGCCGGAAGGGGCCTGAGGAGTCTGGTCTCATCACTCACTTGTGACTCCAACGTGTCCCCTCCCCCAATGTCTCTTGTAACCCAACACTCACAAACATGCTGCCCGGACAAATGCACTCGGACAAAAAGTCCCTCAGAGAGACTCACCCTCTTCTTGAGCACTGAGAAGGTGGCAGAGCAGCCGGTGCAGCTTCCTGAAAAACAGACACAGCATCGGCCTCAGCGCAGCCCACACCCCAACACTCCCTGCCTGGCTCTCTAAGGCCCAACTCACACTTGGGCTCCTAACCAGGTATTCTAAAGGGTGACTATCGGGGTCCGCTGGCCCAAACTGCGTGACGGGAGCAAGTAACAAAGACCAGATTTGAAGCCAAAAGAATTCAAACTAAGAAGAAAAGGCTGAGGGCCATCAAGAAACTATCTCCAGGCCATGCACAGATACTAGTTCCTGCACTTAGAGGCCCCACAACCAAAAGAGAGCCCAGAACAAGAAAAGAAGAAACAAGGGTCCAAAGGCTGCCTCAGGAAAATCAGAGGAAGTCATCAACAGAAATGCAAGAGCAGCCACCGAACTCACTCCCCCAAATCAGGCTCAGCTGGTGGGAGTCTGACCTTCCCTAAAAGAGCCAGGCAGCTGACAAGGGACTCCTCATGACCTGCATCAAAACTGGCCAGTCGTGACCAGTTCACTGTGCCCACACGAGAGGAAACACCTTCTAAAAATTCAGACTCTGGTCGGCTAAAGATTCCAGGAGAAGCTTTGAACCAGGAACCTTCCAAGAAGCCTCTACTGGGCTGGGATGTGATATGTGTGGGACTGGGATCATGTGTGCAGGACAGGGCACTCGGGCACTGTGAGCTGAGGGAGTGGAGAGGGGAGAAGTGTGTGAGAGAGAGAGAGGAAGTTCCTGCCTAAACAGCCAGAGATGAGCGGACACAGCTCCAGAAGGACGGTAGAGGAGTCAATCGCAGCTCAGAAAACGACTGGGAGGAGGCAGGGAGGTGTAATAAGACATGAAGGATGAGGAAGGAGGAGCCCAATCAAGGCAACGAGGCCTAATAGAAGCTGTGCTCCCCACCCACCCACGCTGTCAGACCACAGGAGGAAAGTTAAAGATGGGAAAGGGGACCTGCAAACAAAAACGGGCTGACGACAGGAGTCACCCAAGCTCCCAGGCACTGTAGGTGAGTGGAGGCAAACTGACACCTCAAGAGGAGGGGGAAAGCCTGTAACTTCAACAGGCTCAAAAAGCAGAGAACAAAGGTGGTTCCAAACCCTCTCCAGGAAGACTGACAATGGTGCAATGTAGAAATATCTGTAAGACAGGGCCAAAGGGCAGGGAATCCGTGGTAAGCATAAGCCTTTTCCCCAAAAGGGACCAAATACCCTGTCAAGGCTTGAAAAGGGCTAAACCTGCTGAGACTTCTGGAACTTGGGGCCCAATGGCCTTCACTGCTCTCACCCGGGCAACTGTCAGCCTCAGGGAGCACTTACTGTTGTACCATGATCATGGTCTAGTCAAGCACAACGTACCAGGTCACAGGCCTCACTGCACACAAAGGCTCCAGAGCTCATGCTACAGGAGATGGCCTGGGAGGGCCTGAGCTAGAGAGCAGAAGACACTCACAGTCGAGCTGCAGAAGGTAAACACCCACAGCTATCGGGCAGCTAGTGGCCGGTCGGAAGATAAGAGAGCACAGCAGACGCCTGGTTCTCTGGAGGGCAGCAAGGGGATGGGGCAGGGAAAACACTGACTCCCCTCTGACAAGGACTCCTCACAACAGACAGACTAATAAGGCCAGGCACTCCCAGGGCAGCTGCATGGTCCAGTGAAATGGACCCACGCACAGGCCTGGGGTCAGAGAGGGCATGGGGAGTGTGTCCAACCCAGAAAGGCACATGGAGAAGTGAGTGAGTACCCTGCTTCCTTCCAACATCTCCAACTCCCTCTGCACCTATTCTCAGTAAAGGTCCCAATTTATCCAACCTAACTCCTATGAGATGATGATACGAGGAGCCAGACCCCGTGGATCGGCCAGGCTTCCAAGACAGAAGGTGAGCTATCGCCACCACGAGAGCTGGAGAAAGAGCTTCTGGGAAGCCTGCTCTCACCCCTCTCAGGCCTCCCCACCCCTCGGCTAAGGCAGAGCGGCTTGGCCTCCAAAGTGGCTGACTTCTCCCAGCCTGCTGGAGCTGGATGCAGGAGCAGGCACTGCCAGAACAGGAAAGAATCTCTCAGGACGGGAAGGTGAGTGTGCCCAGGAGGAGGGGAAGTATATTTCCTATCCCTGCCATCCTCACAGGGACCTGAGTGGCCTTTGTCCATTCTGGTCAGGGACTATCTAAGCCAAAACCAAATAGAAAAACAGGTCAGACCTAAAACCAAGATAAAGGGAAATGGAGGAGGCCAAGAAATGAGAAAAACATGGGTACCAAATCAGAGGGTCTGATCTGAGCCACACAGAGGTCTACTGTGTACTGAACGCCTTGAGCAAACCAGCTCCACACTGGCTTACTCTCTGAAACACAGAACATCAAGGACCTCTACTCAAAATTTCCAGAGGTAAACAACACATTACCCACCAGAGCCAGAGCCTTCATTCTTGTGTGGTGTCATCTGGGACTTTTAGAACCTGCTCTTTCTGACAACTTGACCACTGGGATCAAACGAGACTGAGGACTGGCACTGTTCTGCACTCACAGGTGCCCCCCTGAGGTTGGCGATCATCATAAGGAACAGAGAGGAAGTGTCCACAGGGCACAACTCTATTCTGACACACACTGGGTTGCTACGAGCCAGAACCACTTTAGGGGTTGGGTAGTTGGGGAGGGTGAGGGATAAGGGTGAAGGGGTGGAGGCAGGGAGGGGGAGGAAGAGAAGGGAAAGTGATTTACTTGGTGAGGAGTACCCAAAGGGGCATTAACTCTGTTACTAGGGTTTTCTTTTTTAAGCTAGACAGTGGATTCATGGGGTGTTCATTATATTCCACACAGGTTTATACATCATAAATATCGCCTAATGCAGTATTTCAAAAGGAGATATTCAAATGAGAAGATAGTAACGATGCGCTTTTCTTTAAGGCTGCTTTCTCTTTCCAAACAGGAAAAGGAGTGGGGAGAAAAGAAAGGGGAAAAAAAGGTCATGAAAGACTAAGGGACAGTCCCGGGAGAAGGAACAACACGTCCATGACCTCTAATCCAGGGAGAACAGCTGCCTTGCTGCTGCAGGGACAGGACGGAGGCCCCGGGTCAGATTCCTTCTGCGGACTAACAGAGGCTGCTGCCCAGCACCAGCACACCTGGCACAGCACCGTGCCTGTCCCCACCGGTGACAAGCAGAAGCCAGGCCCCTCTTCAGGACCAGCGCTGTCGGGGGTCACCAGACACTCAAGCATTCCCCACAACTTCATCTGGCTCAATTCCCAGCTCCTGATCCAGCCAGGAATGCGAACCATGTGGGCACTGGGGCTACCATTCCCCAGAGCTGCCTCCTCCGCTCCCTTCACCAGCCCCCAGGAAAACAAGGGCCAGCCAAGCAACAAGCATGGCTCAGGGTTAGGGTCAGGGTTAAGGTTATAGAGTTAGACGCTGATTGCTTCAGCTCCCTTCGACTTGGTTCAGAAAAGCCGAGACAGACTCCTGGCAATCACAATCTACAGGCTTGGCCAGGGCCTCCCGTGCTAACAGCACCCACTACTAAGAACTTACTAGAGCCGGCTGAGCAAGCACTATCTCCTCTGATCCTCCCCACAACCTTGTGAGGTAAGAGCTACTATCATTCTCCTGGTACTGAAGGAGAAACTGAGGCATAGTGAGGTTAGCTAACTTCTCCAAAGCCACCCAGCTGAGGTGGGATTAGCACCATGCAGGCACGTGCCCCCACTGTGCCTGCTCGTTCTGTCAGGCTCCTTAACTCCTGTCTCCGACTCTACCCCTCGACAGTCACAGGTGTTACTTCCAGGGCCAGGTGTCTCATTTACCCACAAGCTTTCAATAAGGACAGAAGGACACGCAAAAGCCCACATTCACTCCCTGACTGTCCCACTGGGTGTCTGCTCTCTTCCTAGGGGAATACATTACACACTGTGCTCTCATCACAAACCAGCACCCACACTCTGAGCTCTTGTCCACCCCTCTCCCAGCGCCCCCTCCCAGCCAGCTGTACCGAAATTGTTGGTGGGGTAACGCTTGCGGAGCCGCTCCGTGAGCCGTGACACCTTGCTGCGCAGCACCTCGTTTTTGCTCAGGAACCCGTTGTCCTGCAGGGCCAGCTCGTCCTCTGCCGGGCATGGGGTGCCCTCGTCATCCTCCTGCGGAGAACACCTCCTTCCAGCCCTTCCTGCCTTGTGCAAGGCCCGGGGACCCGCATGCAGAGAAATCCAGTCCAGCAAACCCCACGAGGCACAGTGGCAGCTGGCCCAGCGCCCTCTGCCACCCCATGCCCAGTCCCTGCCCACCTCGCTGATGCACCTACTCACCAGAACCACCAAGTGGGTCTCCTGCCTCCCAAGGTGTGCGGGAGAAGGAGAGAAAACAGAGAGAGAGAAAGAGAGATAGCAAGGACAGGAAGCGAACTAACGCGAGGGGTGGGGAGCTCCTTTGGGCACAAAGAAACTGAGAAACGCTGCCCTGAGTTCTGAGCGCTTCCCAAAAGGGGACGTTAAAAGATAAAATCTCCCTTCAAAGGAGTCTGCCTCCAAAAAAGCAATAAGGTACCATTTTCAAACTGGATGAAAATTCATTTGGTGAGTCATTACCTCACCAGGATAGAACAGAACTGTCTGTAAAAGCCATGGAGGATTCTTCCACCAGTGGGAAGTTCAGGTGCCTGTATGGACCAGGCAGAGTAGCACTAAAGTGAGCTAGCTGCAAATCTCCCTTTTCTACTTTACAAACAGGCCTCACAAAGCAAGCCTCTCCTCTAAGTAAATCAATAAAGCAAATGTGACAATACATAGCAACAGCCACGGGCTCAGATCACTGGGGACAGGCTTATCAGGCTGTAATTGTGGGGTCCTATCTACAGGGACAGTCCCTCTGCTCAGCTACACTGACTGTTGCAGACACAGGGCTTCCTTTTGATTTTTCAGAGGCTGAAAAGTTAAAATTTTTACTGAAATGTCCCCACCTTTAAATGCTGGCTCAATAAATAATTTTTCAAATCATACAAATACTTCTGTGAATTATTAATTTGAAGTAAAATTATTTTGTCGTAAAAACAGAAGGATACTTTTAACTTGCCCTGGCCCAGCACCCCGCACCCCACACCCCGCACCTAGCCAGGCAACCACTTTCTCCACCTCCTCCTTGCCCCTCAGAGGAAGGAGCTGCTGGTGGACTCACTCTGTACAGCAGCCAGGGGAGCTGGAAGACCGTGTCCTCCAAAGCTGCCTTCCCTACACAAGGTACCAAGCCACTGTCTCCAGCTCACAGGGTAAATCACCCAACTCCCCTAGCAGGGCAGTTTCCAGAAGCTTCCAGAGCCAATCCTACCTAGACTTCCAGGACAGATGGTGGGCTGGCACAACAGAGGTGTGGAGGTTCTGTGACATCCTTTCAAAACCACTAGCTCAGGGCACGTTTCAGCTTCTCATTTGGACATAAGAGAATTAAGGCAGGAAAGACAGATTTGGAAAGCAGGAAGCTATAGACCTCGAGGACTGCCCGGTTGCGGCTTGTTCAGTAGATGATGCTGGGGAAAGGCTACCCACCTCAATCGCATCTTTAAACTCCTCATCTGGCTCAGCCTCTTCGGCCTCCTCCACGCTGCCCGGTGTGAGGTCCTGGGAAGAGAAACTCTCTTGAAGAAAAGAGATAAGAGAGAGAGAAGGGTGGCAGCTCTGCTCCCAAGGGTAAGGGCCACCTCCCTGAGGCAGCACCCAGCTCCCTAAGACCCTGCTTCCTGCCCCACAGCAGATGCCACAACTGCAAGAAAGAAGCCACAGAAGAGAGCACCACATATGAGACCACACCTGGACAAGCGTGGCACTGAACCTTGGTCAAGGTACTTGGGCCACTGCTCTGGGCTTAAACCTTTTCTTCTATAAAATGAGAATCAGCTTATTCTCAGAAAGAACGTTCACCTCATGGAGTTAACATCTATAAAGTAACAAAAACAACAACTGACGCAGAGCAGGTACTCAAGAGCAAGCAGCCATCAATATGTGGGTAGTGCAAATGGCTAAGCGCACAGCTGTTACCAGAAGGCTGGCTGTTCAAATCTCTCTAGAGACACCTCACAAAAAAGGTCTGGAGATTTGCTTTCAAAAGATAGAACCATGAAAACCTCATGCGGCACAGTTTTACTCGGCATACTCTGTTGTCATCAGCCAGAAATGACTCAACGGCAACTGCTTTTTTTTTTATCATTATAATTATGAAGCATTCCAAAGGTGACCAGGGCTCAGAAACAGAAGCTACAAGAACTCCAACGCAGACCAGCCCAGGAGCTGCATGGTATGGATAAGCTGGTGAACAGGAAGGCCCACAAGCTACCCATAACGGATGCTGCCCTGCTGGCCAGGGGCCTCACCTCTGTGGGGGTAGTGGCAGGCGTGCTGTCCTGCAGAGGGACCCTCCCCACAGCATCCACCGGCGGACTCTCAACGGTGTTTTCTTCCTCCTTAGGGTTCATCCGTCGCTGCAGAGAGGCCCTGTACTCACATACCACTACCCAGGGCAAGCAGGGCAGGGTGGGAGGCAAAAAACGCATGAGTGAGGGGTGCTTCGGGGTACCCACTTTCACAGCAGCTGGCCTCTTCCTCCATAACCCACCTCCTGCAGGAGTCACCCTCTAACTCTGTGCAGATAACCTTGCCTCCTTTAGCCTCATTAAGAGAACAGTAATATTGCCACCTGCCAAACTCCTGAGACTGTCATTAAATGAGATTAAATGAGGTAAGGGCTGTACAGCACTGAGCCTACAGTGCCTGGGATATAGTAAGTGCTGGATAAACTATGGCTTTCAGAATTAAATCATCTACCACAGGGCAGAAAACAAATACATCAGTCACCCAAACATACATCAGGTCAGGCCACTGAGACCCAGGGCCTTGCCAGATGGCCCCACTGGCTCAGAAACTGCAGAGCAGACAGCACTGTCTGCTCACTCAAAGCTGGCAAGCCCCGGGGCTGCAGATCACCCTATCCACCCGCCTTGTTTGAAGGGAGACAGGACCCCAACTAACACCCCAGATATGCAGAGCACACAGGAGGCCTTTGAGGGAGTAGTCTAGTGCGGTGCTGCCCCCTTGTGGCAGGCACAGCAAACATGTTAGTGGTGGCGAAGGGAAAAGGGGGAGTCTGACTGAACCTACAGAAGCTCTCAGGGACTCCACCTCTACCAGGCTCTACAAGGCTTACCTCGGAAGAACTCCACATTCCCCAGAAAGAGGGTGCTGTTTAAGAGAGCAAGGACCCAGCACAGCGGCAGCAGGTACAGCATGAAAACTGTGCCCAGAAGAGCCCCATAGAACCTGGACGGACAGAGGAACCACAGGATCAGGACAGAGCAGGGCCAGGAGGAAGCAGGTCTGGAGCACACTCAACTAGGGGTGCCGGCGCACAGAGCTGGGGCCCAGTTACTCAGCCAACAAGGCCCGCTAACTGAACAAACGGGAATCAAGTTGAGGCAGAGCAATTTACATCTAGCAGCAAGTCAAGAATTACAAACAAGCAATGCTGGTGGGCAGGAGGCCACGTGGTTCTGATGCTGAGGGTACAAACAATCTAACTCTCATAACCCTCTGGGCCTCAGACTCTGCTGTCTAGCAGACAGACATGGATTTTAATCCAGCTCTGTCGCTTCTTGCTGTGTGACCTCAGAAAAGACCCTTTACCTCTTTCGTGTGCAAAATGAGGATTAAAATAATGCCTATGCCCCACGGTTAACAGGAAGATGTGACTCATGGGCAGTGTTATGCTTCCTATCTGGCACGGACGGAGGCTAAGTAGATAGTAATTGTAAAGAATATTATACTAAAAGTATCTCAAAAATACTCAGTCCACCTGATCCAGGACTCCACCTTGATCAATTCTAAGAAAAAAGTTTCAAAAGATACTGTTATAAGAATGTTCACTGTAGGATTAGTAATGTAAAATGTCATTATTTTGTCAAGTGCCACTGAGTCAGAACCAACCCATAGCTGACCCTCCAGCAGGTTTTCAAAGGCAATAAATCTCATGGGAAGAGAGTGCCTAGTTTTCTCCCATAGAACAGCTAGTGGACACCGGAGCTCCCTATGCTGAAAAACTACAACTGATGAAATGTTTCCGTAAACTACAGTACAATGAGACTATAAAAATACAACATCATAATATGAACTAACCCTGTATTATAAACAAAGTAAAACCTGTGAAAGCTGGAACCTGTTTAAGGAGGAAATCTGTCAAAGAAGGAAAATGCCCATATTTTCCACTAATAGAAAAGTGTTAAGACTGCACTTCATCAAAAGCAGAAAACTTGTGAGACCCAAAAGAACAAGGCAATCCTGTCGTGTTTGGATCTCACAGGAGTCACTGTACTTCCAAAGGCTGGAGAGCATCAAAGAAAACTATTCTGTAATGAAAAGTGAAAATCTTTTCCTCATAAGACTATGAAGTTGGGGATCTATAAAGCACATGTATATAACAAAGGCAAACCAAACAGGACATGAGCTGCTAGGTCTGGATAGAAGACTACAGAGGAATTTAGTTCTTTCTCATCTCTTAACTCTCTGTTACAGGTTACCCTCTGTTTATGACAGGGCTCTATTCTGATGACTCTGACTTAATTCAGTTCTGACATGAATCAAATGCTTTCATCTTTTTTTAAATTTTGTTTTCATTATCATTGACTTTTATCAGTATCTTTACAAATCCAACCATTTAACATATGTGAGCAACCACTTAAGAATCAGTAAATTATATGCTACAACACTGTACATGATCCATATTACTAATGTTAAGATATATTTTTTTAAAAAGAATCCAGATGGTTCTAAGAGTAGTTTTTCATTGACTCAGTACGTCCCAGGTGGGGATTATCTGTATGGGCATAGTGTTACTACACATAAGAGAACACAGAGCATTAGAGCCCATGGCACATGTGCGATGATCACACCAGGGCTCAGGAAGTGCCTTCCCTGAGGTGGGAGTGATGGGGGGCCTGCATGACAGCGAGGTTTGCCTGGGCTTGAGCTGAGAGCTCTCACAGGGCAGTGGCACAGGGGGACCAGCGGGAGCAGGAGGAGAGACACTCACTGTGAGGACACGACCGGGTTCTCCCAGTGCAGCACGCGGTAGGCAGATTCACAGGTGCAGCACAGGCGGCTCAGGAAGGCCTCCAGCTGAATCAAGCTGCAGACACAGGAGTGACAGACACTGAGTGGACAGACACTGCCCCACCACCCACACACTGTGACAGACCCTCTTGAACCCCTGCCCCCATGCACAGCTGTTAGGGATGGACAACTCTCTTCAAACACACTGCAGGGGTCAGGGGAGCACTGGACCAAGGACCTGGCCAACCCTCCCCCACGTCAGTCCCTTTTTGGAGTCCTTACTATGGTAAGGAATCCTGACAGCATAAAGGTTAATGGACTCCACTACCAACCAACAAGTCAGTGGTTCAAAGCCACTTTCCAGGAAAATGACGCAATAATTTGCCTCCGTAAAGATTACACAGTTTCCCAGAAAATCCTATGAGAGAGTTCTATCCTGTCCTATAGAGTTGCTATCCATCAGAGTAACTAAAAGGCAACAGGTGTTTAGATGTTGGGTAGGTTCCTTGACCATCCCAAGGCTACAGTGTTCTGATCTAGGAGATGAAGACAAAAGCACCTGGCTCACAGGTACACATGACAGGATGCAGCTCAAAACAATTCTCAGCTGGACGGAAAACAACATCACTTGAGAGGATTCTTTTCAAACACGGATGCATTCCAGACACACAACGAGAGCACGTCTACACCCAGACCTTGGGCACTCAAGTGCCCCTTGGAGAAATGGCAGGTTCTCAGGCTAGGGCACGGGAAACATAAAATCATCTGAATATTTTTTGTGCCAGAAAGTATGGAAGCACTCAAATACAATGTGGACACATCAAAAGAACAGGAGCAAGTCAAAAGAGCTTCCACTGGACAAATCTGGACAGTATGAGATCAAATATATTATGACAGCAACAGATTCTAATTCATTGAATAAAGTCAAAATCTATGTGTTCATACTGATAATAAATGTGGAAACATTCTTTCTTACAAAACACCAGCTAGTGACTACAGATGGAATGATAGTTACAACCCCCTTTTTGCAACCATCCCAGTAATAAACTGATTTCACACATGGCTCACCGACGGATTTATAAGTAATGGGAGGCTAGCAAAAAGTACTAAGGGAATAACGCAAGCCTCCATTTTTTTAGCAGCCTGTCAAGACTTCCAAAGAATAAAACCCCCAGTGGCAATCCCCCAGTCAAAATAAGAACCAAGTTTCAATGGAAGAAAAGGCTTTATTATGAATGAATGAATGAATGAGTGAATGAAGCAGGATGAGAAAAGTTCTGGCCAAATTAATTTTATGTGACTCAGAGGGACAGGTACAAGGAGGCAGAGTTTCTCATCTATGCAGTTAAATTCACAGGTGTTTTTGAAGAACTGACAGACTAGAAAAAGTGTGTTGAGAAGAAAAAGTTAAAAAAAGAAAAAGCAGTTAAGTTTGATAAGGAACAAGATATATACATAGCTTCAAACTATTTCCTCTCAGATAAGGGCAAAAGTGAAAAAACCGTACCCCGACAGTGGAGAAACATAACGGTCAAAGTTATTATCTCCTTAGTATCTCCCACAGGCACTGAGATCACGTGCCTTCTCAGTATGTTTAGGAGGCACAGTATCACCTCCCGAATTCCCGACACAGTGTAGAGCCTGGATCTAAGGAGAAGTCAAATCGACCTGAGGGAGGTTGGTTCTACAAATCACAAGTTTGTACGTTGCAAAAAAAGTGCTACAGTCATGAGAAATAAAACCTGAGGAACTGATTCAAGTTAAAGGTGACTAAAAGGAGTTGCTGTTGAGTTGGCCCTGACTCATGACAACAACCCCATGAGGGTTAAAGTCAGCCTGGTTTTCACCGGCTGATTTTTCTAGAGGGGATGTCCAGGCCTTTTTTCCAAGTCACGTCAAGGTGAACTCAAACCTACAACCTTTCAGATAGCAGCTGAGCCATGAACCATCTGCACCAATGGGCAGCTTCTAAAGGACACTGAAGAGAAAAAAAAAGTAGTATTTTCAAATAAAAAAAATATACAGCCTATGAAAGAAAATGATGTGCTAACCTTTGAAGAACAATGCAGTTTTATCAAAGCTGACAGATTTTCAGAAAGTCCAGTATCACCATCACATTTGTTTTAACTCATCAACTCATTTTCATGCTAAATAAATATTTTTATTTATGGATTATTTAATAATCAAAGGTGGGGGGAGGAAAAAAACAACAGGAAAAGTGTGCTTGAAATAGGATCCTGGGTCATGGGAACTGATACATAAGACTTTATTTCTATAACTGGAAAAATCTCATTATGAACTGCATATTATATAACAATATGAACTCTCGTGGCCTAGCAGCAAGAAGCTGCGCTGCAATCCCAAAGGCACGTGGTTCAAGGCCACCAGCTGCTCCACGGGAGAAGAATGGGCAATCTCCTCCCGTGCGATTAATTGTCCCTGAAAACCCACTAGAGGGTCAGCTCTGGGTCAGTTCCAACTCTACTGTTCAACAATTATATAACAGTAAGACAGCTAACATGAGAGGCCCTGGGTGCAGAACTGGTTAAGTGCTGGACTACTAACTGAAAGGTGATGGGTTCAATTCCACCCGGAGGCCTGGAGGAAAGGCCTGGTGATCTGCTTCCAAAAGCTCTGGGCTTTGAAACCCTAAGGGACAGTTCCACTCTAAATCTGGAGTTGCCAGAAAGACTCCACTGACAGGCAAATAACAACTTTAATATTATCTGTATCAAAGTTCCAAATTCTGATCAGTGTACTGTGGATAAGGAAAATGTCCTTGCTTTCAGAAAATAAGTAGAGTTATCTGGGAAAGCTGATGGGGGATTTGTAACTTACTTTCAAAGCGTTGTGTATGTGCAGAGACAAAGATAAAGCCAATGTGGTACATGTCAGCAATTGTTCTGAGTGAAGAGGAAATGGGGTATTATTCTTGCAACTCTTTTTTGCAAGTTGGAAATTATTTTCAATTCAAAAGGCTTAAAAACAAAAAATAGGCAAGAAAAATCAAGATGTGGCTCCCGCTCCAGATAACCGACTCAGAATCTGGAGTGGGGAAAGGCAGGCATGTGTTTGTTTAAAGCTGTTTCTGAAGCTGCACAGATGACGCTGATGCCCAGCAAGGGCTGTCAGCCCCAGCTGTGCGTCAAGGGCCTGTGGAGAACCGGATCCAGCGAAGGGCTCAGGAAACACCAGCTGCCACTGACACAGCTATAGTTCACATCATTTAATAGTCTGAAAAACGTCTCTGCCAAAGTCCCGGCACACAGGCAGATTAGCATAGTGAAGACGGCTACTATCAGCTGAATACTTCCTCGTAGTACTCTCCACACAGTAAATCTTATTACTCCCCAAGTAACAGATGAGGAACCTGAGACACAGGCAGGCCGAGCAGTTTACCCAATGTTACATGGCAAGGAGTTGTGCTGCCAATGCAAAGGTGCGTGGTTCAAATCCACCAGCTGGTCCATAAGAGAAAGATGGGCAATCTCTTTTCATGTGATTTGCTGCCTCTAAAAACCTGCTAGAGGATCAGCTATGGGTCTGTTCCAACTCAATGGGACACAACAACAACATGGCAATTAAAACAGTGGGGCTGGGATTTGAACCCAGGCAGGCTGACTCATGCATGCACATGCTTAGTCTAGACCCTCCACTCTCTCTAGGAGCAAGAACAACAGCTGTGAACTCAGCTACATCTGAATTGTCATTCCAGCTTGGTCACTGCCTAGCTGTGTGAGCCTCTCTTTATCTACAATACTACAATAGCAGTGGCTCCCTCCCAGAACTGTTAAAAAGATTAAGGGAAGTCACAAGTGGTTTGCCTTACACAGTGTCTGGTGCAAAGCAAGGAGCACTGATGGCTGCTGTCACTATCGTCCCCCACCTCTCGGGCCTCTCTCCCATACTCACAAGCTCTTCACCTCGGCCACAGCCTCCGGGCGAGACAGGCGCACCCTCTGCAGGTCTTCCTGCCTCACGCTGTGGTATTTCCTCCGCATCAGCTCGGACTCGGGCAGGTGGGCCCGGCACACTTCCTGAAGGTAGCCCAGCAAGGCAGGCACAGAAATCAGCAGGACACCCACTGAGTACCATGCACCTATGGGATGAGATCAAACAAGCAAGAGAAGACCCTCAGCCTCTCTCCACATGTCTTCTATGCACCTTCTCTGAGGTTCTTAGCCCAAGGGGCCTTCCCAGACCACCCTGGACAGAAAAGTCCCTCTCTTGTGCTCTGGCTTCTCAACTCAGCTTTATTCTTCCTCACATCACTCATTACCACATGACAGATTATAGGTTTGTTCACTGTCTCTTCCATTAATGCAGGTTCATGAGGACTCTGTCCATGTGCCCACTCATGTCAAGAAGCTGGCCAGATTGGGGGGGGGGGTGTTCCTGGTGGCTGACATTCTGGCCTCTGGGCTCCCACAACAGAGTGGAAACCTTGCCTTTGGCTTTGAGGATACCTGAGACCAGTGTGGATTAAGAAATGGTGAGGCTGAGAAAAAATGCAAAGAACCTTTTTCCATTCGTACGGTCATCCCATAAACCAGCCACCACAGTACTGGACTCATTAACCAGCAAATGCTAGTTAATGTCTGCCATGTGAACTGATTTACTCTGACATTCAGAAAAACTTAACATCCTGGAGAGGGTCCCTAAATTTTGATCAGGCAAAGTATCCCACTAAGAAGTGGAAGTAGTTACGTGCGCACTGTTTATTTTCAACCCACTAGGTCCGTATTTCCATGGGAACTGAAGAAAACCATTAAAATTTTGGCGTTAAGAGTTAAATCAGGCGAGCTCTGGTGGCCTAGTGGCAGGAAACTGCACTGCAATCCCAGAGGTGCGCGGTTCAAATCCACCAGATGCTCTGCTGAAGAAGGAGAAACAATCGCCTCCTGTACCAGACAGATCCAATTTGACGGTACACACATAAAAAGAATAAATAAACATTTAAAAAGTAAAAAAGAAAGAAAAGAATTAAATCAATGAATAGAGAACTCGGGTTCCCAGGATGCTCTCTCTCTCAGTCTCTTCATTTCTCCTGAGGGGGTTAGCTTTTCCGGCAATCACCTATCAGTTCCAACTAGGAAAAGGACTGGTCCCAGCATACACTGTAATAAAGGCCCACAGGAGACATCATTACCGAGGGCTCCCCAGGATCTCTGTAGACACCCACCCACCCACCCACGCACCACCACACAGCCTCTTTCCACTGCTGGAGACCACCCAGCAAGCCCCCCTGGCTCATTTACTGAACAACACAAACAGCAACAGAGATGGCAAAATATCTCATTACCTCATCTTGCCGACACCCTCACCTCATGCCTTCCCCCAAAATGCTGCTGCTTCCACTTAGAAATGGTCTGTGGACAGTGGCTAATTCAGCAGCAATTGCAACTGGTCAAGCTACAGCAGTCAATCAAGAAGGAAACCAAAATGCACACCTATGTTTACTGCTGCTTTGTTCACAATAGCAAAGAGCTGAAAACAACCCAAGTGCCTATCAGCAAACGAATGGATAGAGAAGCTGTGGTATATTCACACAATGGAATACTATGCAGCATTGAAAAAACAAGGAACTCATGAAATATTATACAAAATGAGTGACCCTGGAGGACATTATGTTGAGTAAAATATCTCAATCATAAAAGGACAAATAATGCATAATTCCACTGTTATAAAACAGGACCAATACCAGTTTTGGGGGGAAACTAAGAAAAGATGGGATAAATAATGTACACTGCACTGAAACTGATGAGTATGAGAACTATTTAAAAGGGATATATGATTAGGTATTATTTGCATGCCAAGAGTCCAGAATAAGAGCTGCAGGGAGCTCTGGTGGCCTAGTAGCAAGAAGCTACACTGGAATCACAGAGGGGTGCTATTCAAATCCACCAGATGCTCTGCTGGAGAAGGAGGGACAATCTCTTTCTATACCAGTCAGATCTGATTTGATGGTACACACTCAAAAAATAATTTTAAAAAAACCAAAAACAGAGTAAGAGTTGCATAGTAAAGTGGACTCCGGGGGGGGGGACGACGACGACGACGACTGTGTAACAATTAAAGAAATTTTTTTTTTCTTCTCAAAGAGAAAAGTAAACGGGGGGGGGCAGAGAAAGGAAATGTACAACAATGAATGAATGGAAATCCAAGTTCTCTATAATCTTTCATTAAAATCTCAATTAAAAAAAACATAATAAAATTCCATTCAGATATCTTGAAAAAAAAAACCTACTGGAAAAACATACGGGCAAACAGCTTTAACCTTGGAATAAAGAAACACTTTTTAAAAAATGATACATATTTCAGAAGCTGTAAAAAATGAATAGCTATAACCTTTTTAACATATAAAAACAGTGAAAAATAAAGACTGATATTACAAAAAAAAAGGAAATGACAATAATAATAAAATAACCACAATGTTATTATTCACTTCACAGTCTGTGTCTAAATGCTTTACCTCGATTATCTCCTTTATTCTTCACCATCACCCTACATGGCTGCTAAGAATCAACTAGGGAGCAGCAGAAGCAGGTTTTTCTGTTTTATTGCTTTATGAGGAAAGCACTATTATCATCCTCCTTTTAGAAAGAAGGAAAAATGGGCTTAACCAAGGTGCATCCCCAGAGCCCACATTCCCCATCAAGTTGACACAGATGGAGGTTACTTCCAGTAGAAGCAGCACTCCCTCCCCCAGGCCACAGCTCAGCACCTTTCCCCCATACACAACGACAAAATCCTCAGGCTGTTACCTTCATTCAAGGTGAGCAACAAGACGTTGAGGCCCAGGCAGGTCAGCAGGGAACACAAGGGTGTCTGCCACCTATAACACAGAAAGTCACTTGAGATGGCAGCTCTGCATTCTGGGAAGAGAGGAGGTGGATCTCCCAAACAAGACAGAGAGGAAAAGCAGGGGCCCCTGAAGGTCAAAGAGAACTCGAAAGTCGGTCTCTCACTTGGACAAGAGACCAGAAAGGAATCATACATTCGCCCTTGGAGTAAGAAAAGGTATCATCTCAAAACCAGACTTTTCTCCTAGGAGGAGAAAAAAGCCCAGTTAGTACCATTTCACCGTGTTTTGTTAAGATTCTATATTCCCTTTAAAGGGTCAAGCTGACAAACATTCTTATATTAAAAGTTCCTTTATCCATTTTCACAATCTCTTAAGTAACATGTGATCATATGTTCTTCAATGAACCAGAATGATGGAATACAGAAATCGAGAAGATAAAATAGAAAGGACTTTATGGATAGCATAAATGACTCTTTTTTTTCTGTAATTTGAACACTTATCTTGAATTGATAGTAACTCATAAAGGGAATCAGTAAATAAGGACTTAATATGTTAAAAAATGAAGAAAAAAACCCAAGGGACAGCATTCATTCAGCAAACACACCCTGAATAAAATTAAACAGATGGATGCCTAGATCCAGCCTTGATTCCACCACCACAAAGAGGCAAAAAAACCAAGAGATCCAAGTTGCTGAGGCAGGCAAATATTGTTGACCTAGTCCCTTAGAAGAGACAGCAAGGACAGAGGCACACAGATAAAACAATGAAGTCATTGATGCGAATATGCCAAAGAGCAGTGCCACTACTCACAGGTGAGTGAGGAGAGAAATATGGGAGGAAGCAGCAGGCAAACTACTGGTGAGCAATGCATTTGGTACTTAAGTGTATTTTCTTTTGTTCCAACCGGGGTATTTCAAGCTACTAAGTGAATTGGCTAATTATGTGCTGCTTTTTAATAAGTTATGAGTGGGGGAAGAAAATGACCTCTTTACACCTGGACCACTCTCTAATGAGGCCTCAGAATCAGCTGATGGCAGTTAGGAGGGAAAAACAAAGTAAAGGTCAGGTCTGCAGTCAATCTCATTTCAGGAATAAAAACATCCCACCACCCCCGGAGTCGCTTAAATTTTTAAAACCTCTTCCACTCCACCTGATGATTTCACTGGCACTTCAGTTATGGAAGAAGCTTCTACTGGAATAACTGGACCAACAGAAAAGGGATTTTTTTTAAAAAAAAACACTGTACCACCAGCTTCCTTCTTTAGAGCTAATGCCAAAGTCCAAGATTACCCCCCCCTTCAAAGTCAAATCCTCTTTACTAAGAAAAGAACAATCAAACTCACAATCTAATCTGACAGCCACTTTCACAGACCACTGCTCCCTCTCCCAGCAGCTCCGAGCAAACAGACTCGGGGGGCTTTTTAGGCCCAATGCTATGACCTCCTCCACCTAACTTTAATCAATTCTACCACAGCCTCAGCTTTCTCCTTTTTAAAAAATAGGAAATCACTAGCATATTAGTGTGCTGACAGCACTGAACACCAGCAGCAACAAAAAAGAAAAAGATACATTGAACAGTGCTTTGTCATAAAAGAGAGAGACACACACACACCCCCGCGCGCCCACGCATACTCTTAGAAATCCAGAGAGCACCCACTTCCCTAAGAAAAACCAAAGTCCATTCTGGCTGGGTGGTCCTCACTGGGATGGTAAAATGAGAAATGAGCCCCTCCTGGGTCGGGTCCCTAACCCTTCTGCCCAGAGCACAGTGTTTAATGGGGAAGAAATTCACTCTCAAAGAGTGACTAAGCCACCGCCAGGATCCTGCTGTAAATTAAAAAGATTCTGGCATGTACTCAATAAAAACCAACCGTTGCCACTGAGTCAAGACCAACGCATAGCTGACCCTCCCGCAAGTTTCTGAAGGCTATAACACACAGGAGGAGGCTGCCCATCGCTTTCCAGGAAAGCCACTGGTGGATTTGAACCGTTTGGCCTTCGGATTAGCAGTGCAACTATCTATAGCCTATGCCACAACACTTTCCCTGGAATGTACAAGAAAGAAAAATTGAGGGCCTTGGTCAGATTTAAAAACAAACCACCTATTATCTTCTAGGAGTGAGGCAAGGCTAAAAATTCTCATAGAAGCCACCCTGCCTCCTTCCAGGCTCCCTAGGGCATCTTAGAGGGCTGAAGATCTCCACCCGAAGCTGACAAAAAAGACACGCTTCTCCCTAGAAATAAATGGACACAAAAGCAATTTTACATGCAGTATCTGGGAGCTGGTCCTTAAAGGCCACCATAGGCCCCAACCTAAGAATTCCTATGCTAGAGGACAATCCAGTTTTATAGAACTTCTGATAGGATACATTATTAGAAACAAACACAGCATTACCTTTGCAGAGGGTGGGGGAGAGTGACGAAAAATCCAAAACAAAACTTAAATGCAATCCAACTTTTAAATCTAAGTTACAATCTTCACCATGAGGAAGCAGCCAGCTCAGTCTAGGTGGGAAATGTTTCAGGACAGTCACCCAGGTTCATCACTGAGTCAATGTCATGAAAGAAGAGAGTCAAGACTTAAGAAACATAGGCAGTCCTGAGTATACCACAGTCCTGGTCTGGGATCTGATTTGGCCAAAAGCACTGCAAATTACATTCTTGGGACAAGTAAGGAAACGTGAATAGGATGGGGTTTAGGATGATGCCAAGAGATTATGAATTTCATTAGGCAAGGTGTGTGATTCTGAAAGAAAACTCCCCTTATTACTTAAAAATGCAAACTCAACCTCAACGATTCAGATCCTCCCAGAACAGCTGTGGGTGAGCATTAACATTACTGGTAAATATATTCATTTTCTCCTGGACACAAGTGCCTATTATTTGGTCCTAAAAGCCTTCTGAGGTCCCAACTCTTCTCACTATTTCTTAGTTGTTGGAATTGACAAAAAACCTCATAAGCAGTTCCTTACTTCACCTCTGCTTTGCATGCAGACTTCCGAGCTGTAAAACCACTCAATGGTAAATGGAATTTGGTCCAGGACTTAAGAACAATAAATGACATAGTTGAGCCTCTACATCTTGCAGTTCCTAACCTTTATACTATAATAGACAAAGTGCTAGTCAATAAGCCTTTTCTTTTAAGAACTACCTTCCCTCTGTAACTTGATTTGTGCAACTGTTAAAACCTCTACTTTTCATTTTTGACTCATGTACTTTTGACTTGTTAAATTTGTGTCTTCTAGGCTGCAACAGTTCCATGGTGCATCTTCAAGGATATGAACATGTATGGCTAAGCACAACTGATGACAGTGCATCTAAATTCCAAAATCAATCTCCACAATAGTCTATGCGTTTCCTATTGCCAAAGGGGCTCTTTAGAGTGATGAGAAAATATCTTCACCCTGAAACCTACAGCGTCCCTTTTCAGCAGGAAGTAGCAATCCCCTTTTCTTTATGAATCAGGGTGAAATCTCCCTCAGGGAGGAGTGACAGGGAATGGCAAAGGACACACTGACAAAGAAGACTAATCAGAACTGGTTTTAACAAGGACTGTGGCAACGGGACAATTAAAACAGACCTTCAAGGGAAAAAAAAGAGAGAGGAACGAACTGGGGGAGTTAAAGAAAATAGTGCAACAATGAATGAATGGAAATCCAAAATCTCTGTAAATGTTCTTTAAAATTAATAAAATAAAATTTAAAAAAAAAGTAAACGCAAATATTTAGGGAATGTCAAAATATAATTTTAAATACTTTCATAAAATAAACAGACAGTCTGAAAGAACAAAGAAAATTACTGAGGATAAATATCAAAGCAGAATAGATACAATGATTGAGATTCATAACTCCGTATGTTAGCGATCATGGTACTTGTTTACTCATGAGTATTTCATTTCTGCTCAAAATTATATTCTCTTTTTTAATAATTAATTAATTAACATATAATTGTTGTAATTAAACACTTAGAAAGACCTTAAGTCCTGCTTTAAAGCACAAATGAATTGATTAAATCAGCTCAAGTCTAGATAGCAGTCTTGGGAGTAATTTATTCAGTCACAAAAAAAAAAACCAACCCTGGTGAAAGTCTGGCTCCCTAGCTATGACTGACTGAGGAAAATACCAGATTTCTGCCATGCCCTGTGAGCCAGCCCAGGCCCACCGGACCTCCCAGAATTTCTCCTCACTAAAGCAGAAAGGGCAGCCCAGCAGCTAAATGGCTAGCAACCTACACACAAAGTAGGAGACAGAAGATCCCATAGGTCAGCACAACTCTACCTGAGCAAGTATCGGACGCCATCACCTGCATCCTTCAGGGGTTCCAAGTAGATCTCCAGTCTCTTGTAGGACAGAACCAGGTTGAAAAGATCAAATGCTGGGGGCTTGGTAGGGACAGGCGGAGGCTCTGGGGGAGCCTCGGGCATCACGCTGGGGCTCACCTCCGGCCCACTTCCCTCTCGATCTGATACCTGCATTCTGTAACAACAATAATTTCCAACAATCACATTGTGTTTTCAGTCTGACACACTGCAACTTGTGGTGTCTACTAAGAAACCTGTGAGCTAGACAGGTGGGATGCCCATTCAGAGAGGAGAAAGTGCCATTCAGCAAAGTAAACTGCCTAGATGTAAAGGCTGTCCATCTGACTCTAGCACCCAATGAACTTTTCCATAGAGATATAAAAAATATATCTAAGAGAGAGAATGAGAATGAAAGAGGGAATGAGAATGAGACGGAGGGAGGGAGGGAGGAAGGAAAGAAAGAGACAGAAGCCAAGAAGACATTTTGCTAGGGGGTAGGCAGCCACGGGTCACAAGAGAATTGATGCCTACATCTTTCAAGTCTCATTGATAACTCCTCAATATTCCCAGTCTGAACTGGGAGACCTCTGGAACGCTCCCAAAAGTACACGCACACCTGCAAAATGAAAACTCAGCTTTTTGCTCATGGGATCCTCTTTGTGCTTCAAAGACTAACAGCTTTCCACCCCTCTTTCTGCAATTAGGGGGCACGCAAACGTCTGGTGAGTAAATGCATTGCCATCAGACTTTCTCCAGTCCCACCTCATCCTCTACCTTTCCTTGAGAGAACCAACAACTTCCAGGACCATCCCTGTTTCCTTAAACTCCACTTCCTTGAACCCCACTGGAGCAACCACATAAAACCCCATTCCCATGCCTCCTCTGATGAGGAATCACCTTCTTCTCTAATTTCAAAGGCCTACCACGATTGCTCCGGGACGCTGGCTAGCTAGTGGCTTAGTAGTAAGAGACCCAAAGGGATGCAGTTCGAACCCACCAGCTGCTCAGTGGGAGACGGACGGACAATCTCCTCCAGTGCGAGTTGCAGCCTCTGAAAACCGACTGGAGGGTCAGCTGTGGGTCGGTTCTGATTCGATGGTATACAACAACCACAGCGCTAATCAGAAAACAAGGGAACCTTAGGAACTTGTCCCTCAGTTACATACACCAATCCCAGGGCAAAAGGGGCAGCAAGAGCCCCAAATGCCCCTGGACAGAGCCAGGATGAGCAGACCTAAGAGAACCCGAGGGGCATCGGAGGAAGGAAAGCTGCTCAGGATCCTAGCCTGATGAGACCCCTGCACCCCTGATCAAAGAAGGCCATGGCCAAGGTCGCTGGGCCAGCAGGTGGTCGTCCCCGGGGTGTCCGGGCACCCAGCTCGGCGGCGACACGAAGACGGGGGAGGAGATGGCGCTTCACCTACCCGGCCGCCGGGCTGGGGGGAGAGGGAGGGGCGGGGACGGCCAGGGGCACCGGTCGGGCCGCGGGGCCCTGGAGCGCGTCCGCAGGCCCGCCCCACCCCGACGTCGTGCCTCCTTTAGGCAATTCTGAGATCGGACATCAGAGGGACGAGATACTCCTCCGCCACCGCCGCTTCCGGAACCCGACTCGCTCTGCGACGGCGTGCCCGTGACGTCATCCCGCCCGCCCCGCCTCCGGCTCCGGGCTCGGACTCGGCCTTAGCTCCGCCCACTCTCCTACAGGTGAGCGCCCTCCTCAGCAGTGCGCCTGCGCGCCTCTCGCTCCCTAACCCCGCCCTTGATTAACTCTGTCCCTGCTGGACACAATTAGCAAAATCCAGTAAAGCGCTGCAGGAGTGGTTGGCAATGCTGCCTGTCCCCCCTGTCCCCACCTGTCCTCTGGAAAACCTCAGCGGGGAACAGTTAGAAGCTAAACTGAACAATGTACATCTCCACCCTTTTTCTCGCCCCCTTAACTTGCACGCAGTCGGAACTGTGAAAGGTAGAAATCATATCCTGGATACCAGATGCCTAGCAGAGGATGCAATTCCTTTCAGTGTTACCTGTTCTGTATAATTTCCTGTGCAGAATTTTCCTCTCTTAGTTCACATGTTGCCAAACTAATGTCCCTCAAAGCACTAATTTGATGATTTTCCGTTATCAGTGACAGCATTTCTTTTCCGAAGGCTGGCTAACCGGGCGCCAACATCTGGACTCTCTGTAGGCGTTAACTGTTCTCCAACAATCCTATTAGGGTTAAGTGGTTTACAGATGAGAGATCCAAGACATGTTAAGGAACCTCTTCAATGTGACATTGCTAAGAGACATCCAGAAGCCAGTATTTGAACGCTTTATGAACTAACCCCAGAACCTCCAAACATACTACCCCCACTTTAGTCTTCATTTACTGACATCTGCTCCTACCCTTCAGGAGCCTCTTAACTCCAGGCAGTTAACCGTGGATGATTACCTTCAAACATTCCAGGGTCTCCAGGGGATTATTTAGCACTGGTGGAAATACCCTTCCCCGCACCCTTGCTTCTGTCCAAATGCAACCCACTCCTTTAAGCTGGAGTCAAATGTCTCTACATCTCCTCTGATTGCCCCAGATGAAAATAATCACCTCAGGCTCCAAGCCACAGAGCTTTATCGGAATCTGTTCCTGCCAGTATCTCCCAACAGAAACGCAGGCCAGTCAGTTGTGTATGAAATCACTTCTCACTTTTTTAGGACCTGAATCTGTCCGACTCATCCTGAAATCTCACTCTGTCAACTCTTGAGACAGAATCTCATGACAGATTCTCTTCTTCAAAGAGAATTCTGTTTTCCTTAACTTTTTTTTTTGTTTTCCTTAACTTTTAAAGTCCTTAAGAGCAAAGAAATCAGTTTAAAGACTAAGGTGCACCTGACCTAAGCTATGTCATTTTCAGGTACTTCTGATGCATATGGAAGGTTGAACATTGAATATGAAAGACCAACGAACTGATGGCTTTGAATTGTGGTGTTGGTAAAAAGCATTGAATATACCATAAGCTGTCAAAAGAACAAACCATTGAGCATGTTTTCAGAAGATGCCAGTCATGGGGATGGGGTGGGGAGGGGGCGAGAGGAAAGACATCATGCTTGGTAAAGCAGATGATCAACGAAAAAGAGAAAAACTATCAGCAAGATGGATTGACACAGTGGATGCAACAGTGGACTTGATTATGGAAATGGCATGGAATAGGGCAAAGTTTTGATCTGTTGATGGGGTTACTATGAGTTGTAGCAGACTGCATAGCACCTAACAACAGCAACAATCCCACTTTCTTCCATTCTTAGAAACCTTACTACACTCCCTTTCTTATCCCACTGCAGGCCAGCTTCCCTCTGTCTGTGGGTGACAAGTAATGTCCTGGCTGCTAAACACTTCCCAGCCCTCCCCTCAGGTAACCTCTATGTCACTGGACGCTTCACTGCTCTTCCTTCCTGACACCCGTCTCCATCTTTCTTTACATGTCACTACTCTCTCCTGCTCTCTGTCTTCAAAGTTTCCTTAGGACTCTCTCTCTTAAATGCTGGTTCTCCTGTCTCCTTCCTTCCTGCCTGCCTGCCTGCCTGCCTTCCTGCCTTCCTTTTCTCCTTCTTTCCTTCCAACCCTGGACACTGTCTCCAGGGTTCTCAACTACTCCTTCAGTTATTGTTTAATATATTTTTATATTTTCAGGTTGGAGCAGTGCCTGACACTTGCTCCAAGTAGGCTTACTGTAAAAGTTTTGCATGATTAGGTGAATGAGAATCTGGTACTCAATTTTCTTTTAACCCTCTCTATCTCAATGATATCCCTGCAAAAACTTCAAACTCCACATGTGTGTGCAGCACAAAACTCACCGTTGGCAACCTCAAGCAGCCACCCTAAACAAGGCTTTTGTCTTAGCCCCTCCATTACCTGTCCTGGCTAAAAAACCCTTAAGAGTCAACCCTGACTACCTCTCTCCCAAGCCTCTCACCTCCCACCCATCATCAAGTTCTTTGAAATACTTTAATATAAAAAATTAAAGTGAACTCAAAGGAAGAAAAGGAAAATTACCTGGGAGAAAAATCAAAGCATATCAGGAACAAGAAAAGGTTGAGATTTATAATCCCAATTGATTAGTGAATTCATTAATGGTACCTGCTTATTCAAATCAATGCCTCAGCCATGGGGTTCAGAGCAGAACTTTGCTCCCTCAGTTCTCAATGACCGGTTTTTCATAGGGCTGTTGTCTTCTAAAACACCTCTGGGTAGACTCAAAGTTCCACCCTTTCTGTTAACAGCAAGCATCATCCAGGGACTCTCTTTCTTTTAAAGACATTTCTATTGAGGTGATTCTGACTCACAGTGGTCCTGGAGGCCAGAACAGAACTGTCCCTCAGGGTTTTCAGGGCTGAAAATATTTATGGAACACACTGCCTCCTCTTTCTTCCACAGAGCGACTGGTGGGTTCAAACCACATACCTGCTGGTTAGTGGCTAAGTGCTTTAACCGCTGCTCAATCTCTAACTACGTGTAAATGGGATTTTTAAACAAAATTATTAAAATATGTAGTACTACCTTTTACCAACAGATAGTCAATTTATTAAACTAGTTTATTTAGGCGTCTGTAATGGTGACTTCAACCTAGTGTACTGCAGGCTCAATGCTGATAGAGATGAGCTGCTTGGTAATCTCAGGAGGTTGTGCGAGTCAATGAGTCCCTTGTGGATCCTCTTCCGGAATCAATCCCAGGTCTTGGCACCTTCCTCACGAAGAATCTTCCTGGTAGTGATTCTCAGTGTCTTGGTAGGCATCCTAACCAGTCCCTTCACATTCAGGTTCTTCTCCTTTGTGCCTCTGATCAAGTCAGACACACTATAGGAAAATCATGTTAGCTCACGCAGCACAATTAACGAAGGCTTTAAAAGGTAACTAATAGGGAGCTCTGGTGGCCTAGTGGCAAGAAGCTGTGCTGCAATCCTGAAGGAGCATGGTTCAAAACTACCAGATACGAGGGGAACTCTCCTGTGCCAATCGGATCCAATTCGAAAGTATATGTAAAAAAAATTAAAAAGTCAACAAATGCTGGCTCAGAATTGTGTAAAAAACTATCACCATAATTCAACATAATTCTCTACTCTTTTATAATTCCCTGCTTTATTCTACTTTTTCAACTAATTGAACCATACCAGTTGTAACATGAATAAGGAGTGATCTT